GTATGTTAAAAACTTCTAGCACAAAAAGTTTTTAAAAATGCTCTTTGCCCCTTCTTTTTTGGAAATTCTCTAGGAAACTGGAAGATTTATGCTATCAGCAAGTTTTCACAAGATTACCTTTGCCCTCTCTCTACTCTCCTCCCTGAGGACTTTAGGGTATTTTGAGGTGCTCTTTCAAATTTGGGCCCACCTTAGTCTGCTGAGTATTTCTCGTGTCAGCAGTGACTTCTGGGAGTCCACCTCATTCCTGTACACCAATATTGCCACTGGATTGGGGCCACTGCCTCAGAATGAGGTGTCTCTAATTTTAGATTGGAATCAGAGAGATCCAGATGGGTTGCCACTTATAACTGGTATAAATTTGAGCCCATGAGCAGAGATGTGCAAGAAATAGTATGGAATTTTTCTTTTTTGGTATAACTTCACTTAATTTATAAATTTAAGCCTTGGTTTTGCTGATGTCCTATTTGGACTTCCACTCATCCTTATTTAGAAATGATATAGAATCAAGGTTTTGCAGGTAGGGTGAGAGCACGGTCAAGAGCTATTGGGGCACCCAACAGCTCAGCCACCATGGCTAGCTGATGTTTGGTGGTTTCTGTGCCATGCATGGGACAGGTTGCCATGATTCTGCTTGCATGCACTATGCAGCCATCTCCTCTTAGAATTTTTGCTACATTTACCTCTCCAGCCACACTTTAGAGGGCTCCTCTCTTCCACAGTTTGTAGATCTCTCTCTTTCTCTCTCTCTCTGACCTAATCAGCACCTCTCAATACTGTAGTGGGATAAGAAGGGGAAAAAAGGGAATCCTGCTTCCCTTATGTTTCTGCTCAAGTTTGCTCTTTCCTATGGAGTTTGGAGTTTAGAAATAAAAGTCAAGATGATCAGCATGCTATTTTTGCTCTCAGCCCCGCCTTACCCCTCCTGTGAGCAATGAACACAGAGCCTGTTACCTGCTTAAGTGCAGAAGGGAAGAGTGAAAAAAAGAAAGAAAAGGAAAAAAGTTAAACAGAAACACATTACATCTCAAAATATTCTGCCACATTTGAAAGACTAGAGTTGAATTCATTAGAGAGGTTCCATTGGGGAAAAAGAATTGTTCTTAAAAACAAGGTGTCTGCCATTGCAGAGACTGTGTTGGATCTAGGTCTGAAGAATGCTCTGATGTCATCATCGAGGTCAGGGAATTCTGCTGTGGGCTTGGTGACCTTTGACCCTTAACAGCCCTGCAGTGCAGTGAGCACTGGGCAGTGCTGCTGGTTCACTAAGTGGTGTGAGTTCTTTAGCCATTTGGGAGACTTGACTACTTCGATTTGTACTGAATCACTTTAACGAATTTCCTGAGAGCCAAGAGGGGCCAACCTATTGGGAAAAGGGTGAGCTGGACATTAAGCATCTTCTAGGGGTTCTTCCAGTTGATGCTATGAAACGGCGGCAAAAGAGGAAGCATCTGGAACATGAAGAGTCCCAGGAAACTGCTGAGAAGGGAGGAGGTACGTGCTGGGCAACTTGTCTGAGGCACAAGCCTTGCTGGCTAGCCTGTGCCTTCTTTAGGAAGGCGGGATTGGGAGAAAGTGCCACCTATGAAGTAGGGAGGGAGAGATGTGGCATTGGCTGAAGGGGCCATATATATTTTGAGAGTAGCAGAGATGGGAGATGGCACAGAAAGTTCAGAGACCCCTGACAGGTAGAAAGTCAGCCTTGTTGGTCTGAGAACTTCTCTCCTGGGGCTGCTGGCACCCAGAGCTATGCCAGGGCCCTGGCAGGCTGGGGTCTTGCTTATAGACCCTGTGATGCAGCTTTTCTCAGTTTCCCCATTCTCTCTTAGTCTCTGTTTGCTCCTCCCTGGGGTCTCTAAGTAGGGTTATGAAGGCTGCTGAGAGAAATCTGTGAGTGGCACTCTTTCTTTTAGCATAAAAGAAAAAGCAGCCCAATGAGTTAAAGACTTCATTGGAAAATATTTTGAGAAGTGAAATGTTTGTTAGAAAGTAGAATCAGGGGCAGTGCCTATGGCTCAAGGAGTAGGGCACTGGCCTCACATACCAGAGGTGTTGGGTTCAAACCTGGCCCTGGCCAAAAACTGCAAAAAAAAA